TAATTTTAATGCATTGCTTAATTTTTTTTAATATTTTTATATTTTTTTTTTTTTTTTTTTTTTTTTTTTTTTAAATGCAAAATTCTGGAGTAGTACGAGTAGCCGCGTGGAAGAAAGTGACATGTACAATTAGCCGGTAATTAAATAATGAAGTTGCACATACGCTTTATCACGATGTCCGTTTATCAGTTCTTATATGACAACCATAATATAATTAATTCATCGCTTACAATTAACTTCTTAACAGCACTTCGCACTTTTGTACACGCATCCACATAATCTCACATAATCTTACTCTTGATGCACATAATAATGGCCGCGTTCAATAGAGAAAGCGCTCAGTAGCGGGATTCTTTAAAGGCCGTATTAAGCCCGAATCACACTAGCGGCTCGCGGCTGCGATTGCCTCAGCCAATCAGAAAACACCAATTGCAAGTATGATTGGAGAGTAGCAAATCACAATCACAAACGCAATCGCAATCGCAGCCGCGAGCCGCTAGTGTGATTTGGGCTTTATACTACGGGTTGCGGGCTCGATTGCGGTTGGAGTTAAGCCCGTTCTACATTGATCGCATGTTTGCTTGCGACTGGCGACATGCGATCAATGTAGAACGGGCTTTATGGTTGATAGTTGCGATTGACCAATCAATCGACAAGCTGCTTCGCTCTGATTGGTCAATCCGTAATCGTCAACCGTAAAGGCCGTATTAAGACCATCACACACAAAATTCCGTAAGGACGTAATACGTAAGCGTTATGCCCGTATCAGACTACGCATTGAAAATTGAAGATTGAAGATTAAAGATTGAAATGTGACTAATCAAAACAAAAGGGACTAAAATTTCTTTGTCCTGATTGGTCAAATTTCAATCTTCGATCTTCAATCTCAATCTTCAATGCGTAGTCTGATATGGGCTTAAGAAAATTGACCAATCCCAATCGAGTAATGCGTTTTCCATAAAAGTGGAGGGATTACGGAGAGCCAAATACTCGATTGGGATTGGTCGATTTTCTTAAGCCCGTGTCACACTACGCATTGCGGACTTGAATCAGGTTTGGAGTACGGATTGCGAATCGTCATCCATCCAATCAGAGCGAAGTAGCCAAGGATCTGATTGGATGATTGACTATTCGCAGTCCGTAATCCAAATCCGATCCGCGTCCGCAATGCGTAGTGTGATACTGACTTTACGTTTACGTTTTGGCCTCAGTGCCGGTCTACAATAGGCGATTTAAGATTGGTCCATTTCCTTATGCATAAAGAAATTGACCAATCAAATTCCTTATGCTTATGATTATGCGCTTATGCAAAAGTGCGTGCTCCCCGCTTAAGCCTTATGACCAGTCCGTAATCCAAATCCGATCCGCGTCCGCAATGCGTAGTGTGATACTGACTTTACGTTTACGTTTTGGCCTCAGTGCCGGTCTACAATAGGCGATTTAATGTGATTGGTCAATTTGCTTACGTCTTAAGTCTTACTGCTTAAGTTTTTCTATGTGCCACGGCTCTAAGCCCTAAGCGAGTTGGCCAACTCCCATCTTTTAGGGTGCATCCCGATAGAGAAAGAATAGCGGAACGGAACAGTAAAGGCTATCACACACAAATTGGCATAACTGCATATGCATAGCATAAGACCGTCTAGACCAATGAGCGTGCTATGTAAATCAATATGGCGATTTTATTTCGATTCTCATTGGTCTAGACGATCTTATGCTATGCATATGCAGCTATGCCAATTTGTGTGTGATAGGCTATAGGCTTTAAAGGCTATCGCACACAAATTGACATAGCTGCATATACATAACATAAGACCGTCTGGACCAATGAGCATCGAAATAAAATCGCCATATTGATTTACATAGCATGCTCATTGGTCCAGACGGTCTTATGCTATGCACATGCAGCTATGCCAATTTGTGTGTGAGGGCCTTTAGGCTTAACGGAAAAGAAACCAGAAGAAAGGTAACCAATCAGAATGATTCCGTTTCAATTCCGTTCCGCTTTTTAATCAGTGGGTTCCCCACAGTGTTCCGATTAGGGACCGGCTGTAGGCGCATGTGCGGGAATACGGCATCAGTAAAGTATCTTATACAAATAAAAAGAGGCACTATTACCCGGCTACATTTAAAATATTTAAAAAATGTTTTAAAAATGTATTAAGAAATAAAATATGTACATATATAAATAAAAATATACATTGTGATTAATTAAAGAACGATTAAACATATAAAAATCTTATCTTATATATATCATTTAATTTCCAGCTGTCGTAACGTCCCGCTACAACGTCTGCACGCATCATGTACATAGCTAATTCTCACCGTCGCGCATGCGCAAAAGCACGCATGCGCGTACAGCCGGTCCCTAATCGGAACACTGATTTTCCATGGCACGGAACCATTACAGAACGGAAAAATTTCTAACCTCATCCATATAAAAAATTCGCGAAGTGTCTACCCAGATTCATTTTGCAACGTACGCTTTTGGCCACAACGAAGTAAATAAAAAGCAATGTCATCGTACGTTATTATTATATGTAAAAATATTATTTTATATTTAACGTGATACACACTTATAAAATAGATTAGGTTAAATTATTCTTATTACAAATTTAAAAAATAAATACAATTGTATGTGGTATATTTCATTGATTAGGAGAAATCAAATGTGGATATTCACATGGTGCACTTATTAAATTTTTATCTAGTTTTTCTGTATCTTGAGCAAGATACGTACTTTAGTACTTTATTAAGATTGTACTTAAGACCGTCTTAAGTACAATCTTAAGATATCATAAACCAATCACAGAGCCGTATTAGCATCTTTAGGGAGAATTCACACCTTGGCAGAAAAGCAGAAAGCAGAAAAGCAGAAGCCAATCAGAACTCGCGCTGAAAATAAGCAGTACATTCTGCTTTTTTAGCGCGAGTTCTAATTGGCTTCTGCTTTTCTGGTCTTAAATCAACTGCCAAAGTGTGAATCCGGCCGAAGACATTACTTAAGACGGTCTTGAAATAAGAACCGACTATGAATACCGGCCATACTTGCACATTTCGGCCCGATTCCGTGGCTCACGCCTATTGCGCCCCACTCACCGCTCATGCATTAGCAACGAGTCGCCAGATACGAGTAACTAAAGGCCCTTGCACAATGACCGCCGTAGAGTTAGCAAAGAAATTAAATATTTTCTAATTATTTTATATTATATAATTTGGGGAAGTTTAGGAAAATCATTTTAACATTTAGGAAACAATATTTTCTTTGTAATAATAAAAATTTATCCAGCGTCAAGTTAGCAGATCTTAATTATGTTTAATAAATATTATAAACGGAATCGATTAAAAATCATTTGGGAATAACATATTCATTAATATTTTTATTTGGGAAAGTCGCATTTTTGTAATTTAAATAAATTTGTGTATTCAAAAAAATGCATTATGCGTTATGCACGCGGCATAAAGGATTCAACCAATCAGAGTCCTTAATTTCTAAAATGAAAGACATAATATATCACTAAAGACCTAAGATCGAATAATAATAAGAGATTATTGATTTCTACCGTGAAGCCGCATGGTGACGCAAGTACGCAAACAATTGCACATTGGATCAAGTCTCTACTCAATAAAACAGGCATAAATACAGATCAGTTTTCCGCATATAGTACTAGACATGCTGCAGTTTCAGCAGCCCACCGAAAAGGCGTCGATATAGATACAATTAGACGTACAGCAGGATGGTCCGTCCATGTCACAAACCTTTGCAAGGTTTTACAATAAACCGATCCAATTATCTGATAAAAACTTTGTGCACTCAATACTTAAGGAATAAAAGATTATTTTGCTCAGGCGGTTTTTTCTTCAAAAAAAACATGCTTTCATAACTGGAATTAATAATAATTAAATAAACAAAACAAGAATAGATTGTTGCAGACGCTGAAAGTCTACCTGTTATCATCGAGAACGAGACGTGTAATATAATTATCCGATCAAACGAGCCCGTCGAAGGCGGGCGAAGTTCGATCGCAATTATATGAAACGTCTCGTTCGAAGATGATCCGTTCCCACCCTTGTTTATTAATTCCCATAATAGAATAGAATGAATAAATATATTTACCCAGGATCATCTAAATAATTGCAACAACTCTTCTCTTGTACCTCTAAAAGATATGACGACGGAAGGCGCGTAGACCCTCTACTGGGGCCCGGCGCACCAGTTTCAAATTCTATACTTTGAAATGTTGTGAGATTTGCGCAATGCGAAGGGCCGGCCTCCCACTCACGCGATTCGACGTGTGGTGGGGTGGTCCCTACGGTGGGGCCGCGACACGTGTGTGGGAACTTAGGAACGCCATAAGCGCCGAGCCTCGAAAAGCGCGCGGTGGATCGGCCCGCTAGGCCGTTAGTAACAGTATCGTTACACCAACTCCCCCCTTTTTAAATCTAGGCGGTGCGGGGGGATCTTAGTGGCGGGTCTGGTCGTAGGAGGGCATGGCCGGCGTGGTCCTCCGCGTCGTCGTCCTCGCAGTCCTCCTCCTCGGCTGGCTCGTCGTCGGATCCTGGGGCCGGTTTTAAATCTTGCACATGGATGTGCCGGTGCTACTTTCCTCTGGCGTCGCGGAGGTCCAATACGACCGGTGACAGGATCTTCCGGACTTCCAGGGGTCCGATGTACCTGGGCGCCAGCTTGGCGTTAAATGCGTTGCTCTTGCTAGAGAGTGGCCGATCTCTTTTCCAGACCTGCTCGCCTATCTGCGGACGCCAGTCGCGTCGCCGCAGATTGTAATGGCGTTCCTGTCGTTGAAACACGCGAGCTAGGTGAATTCGTACCACCTCGAAGGCCTCCTCGAGCCGCTTCCGGTTTACGTCCGGACTTGGAGCTGGGGCCGGCGGTCTCCGGTCCTCCGGACGGGGTCGTGCCAATTCGCGCCCGTGTAGAACGTACGCCGGGGTGTATCCGGTGGCCTCGTGCCTCGCGGTATTGATCGCGAATTGTAGTGCGATGATCCGCTCATCCCAGTTTTTGTGTTGCTTCCCCATGTACTGGGCGATCATGGTCTTTACCGTGCGGTTGGCCCGCTCGACCGGGTTGCACTGAGGTGCATAGATGGGCGACTTGCGATGCGCGATCCCGAAGGCGGCAAGGAGTGTCTTGAATCGCTGAGACGTAAATTGGATTTCATTATCGGAGATCAGCATTGTTGGGCACCCGTGCCGGTAGATGAGATGGTGGGACACGGCACGCGCTAGATTCTCAGCGGTGGCCCGGCATAGTGGGACCATTTCAAACCACTTGCTGAAGCGGTCTTCTATGGTCAACAGCCAAGTGTGCCCCTTCGTGGATCG